TCTCCTGCCCTCTTCGGAGGCCTCAAGACCCCCCCCAGTCCCTCTTCTAACGGCCGCCCCCTCGCTTGTGCGCCGCCAGCTCAGACGTCCGACGACATATGTTTTTTTTCAAGCCCGCGGCCCCAGAGCTCCCGACACCTTCCTCGGGGCCAGTTTTTCCTCAGCGCTTTCTCTGCGTGGAGGGCCAAGGGTGAAATTTGAAATGCCGTTTCGACGGATTGAATTACGAGGTGCGAAAGCCCATATGGATTTCACCGTGAGCCCCCCACCCGAAGAAAATGCTCAGTTTTCGTCCCGGATCCGTTTTTGATGGCCCAGGGGCCCGATAGCGGCCTCCCGGGAGGCCGACATCGAGGAAAAACGCCCGGATGAAAAAATCATGCCGTCGGAGGTGTTGGACCTCTCCGTCAAAGAGCCCTTCACACACGGGCCCAATCTACGTTTGGGGTATCGGACACCCCCGCCGGAGTTCACCTGGCCGCAGACATCCTTCAAATTCTGCACCCTAGCCGGCGTTCCAGAAATTTGGCCTGCATGGGTAGGGTTCCCAATGTCGACGATCCACGAATTGACGATGACTAAGGTGGACGATGACCAAGATCGACACGGGCGCTTCCACGTTCAGTCTTGGTCATGGTCCTCGTTTTCTTTCCCTTCGAATCTCTCCCTCCAAGAGTTCTTAACGCTCGGGCATCCCCACCAGCACATCCAGGAGCGATGCCGAAGGGAGCTGCCCTCATCGGGGGAGCGCGGCATCATTTGGAGAGCTCGGGGAGCCTCCGTGGGTCAGAGGCTTCTTGGATACCTCTCGGAGTCTCTTGATCATGGTCCTCGTTTTCTTTCCCTCCAGATCTCTCCCTCCAAGAATTGCAGCCCGCCACGGCCGCCTCTGCCCGGAATTCGAACGCAGCTTAGTGTCCATTCAGGGCCCCCAATCCGTGCTGTGACGGGCCGCGTGGTGACCTCGGAATCTCAACGACCGCACCGCGTTGTCCGTCACCGCACGGTTTTGGGACCCTGGAGGCCCTGGTCGCCCGAGACGTCCTCGGAGGAACGACTCGAGTCCCAAAGCCGTGCGGTGACCCCGCATCCCCACTGACTCACCACGCAGTGTGGTCACCGCATCCTTTGGGGGCCCCCGAGTCCACCGCGGACTTCTTCTGCCAGCACTTTCCGCGCGGGGAGCCGGCAGCACGCCGCCGGCCCAGGCCCCGCGCGCGGTGAGTCGGACAGGCCCCGCGCGGCAGCAGTGGAGGACCTGCCGGCCAGGAATTCGGGCTGTCGCGCAGCGGTGCGGCTCTTCTGCTAAGATGTGGCTCAGGCCACTCCCTCGCCTTTCGCCTCTGCTCCCTGTCTGGCACTGTTCTTCCATCCTCTGTCGCGTAACGGTCGTTGTCCAGGACAGCCCCCGCCCCTACGGGTAACGATAACGATCGCTTCTAGGGGGGTGTCTGACCCCTCCCTAAATTTTGATGTTCGCACGCATGCTGTGGCGATCGCAGCGCACCCCCCCGCCCCGACGTGCCCCACCCCGCCCGAAAAATGATTTTTCGTGATGTTGCATTTTTTGCCGGGGTGGTTCCACACGTTGCGGAAAAAACGCGACGTCGAGGAGAGCTTGCTACGCATGGAATGAAATCGACGAGAAAGTACTCGGAATCGGATTTGTAAGTGGCTCAGTCTGAAGTGCCAATGGAGAGGACATGATCCCTTTTTTGATTTTTGAGCCCGCTGTGACACCCACTCGTGCCCACCCCGTCCCGTCTCCAGGGGTGAGGCGTCGGAGGGGTTGGCGACCCACCGGCCCCCTCGGCCCCCTCCCTGGCTAGGATGCAACTCCTGGGAAGTTAAAGTCTAAACCGGCGCTGGTACACCCCTGGTCGAAATCTGGCCCTTATCTGGTTTAATCCCGCTCAATCTGGCTTGATCCCGTGCTTAATGCGACCTAATCTGGCCCAGTGGCTCCTGCACCGGGCAGAACAGCCCTGGGTCGTCCTGACAGAGGCCTCCCAGGAGTGGCCTCCTGACCTCCGCCTCCTCCCTCCTCGCCTCCGCCGCCCCTCGATGCCCCTGCCCAAGTCACGCGGCGACGCCAGAGAGTCCCGCCCGCCCGCTCACGCCGGGTTCTGGCCCCGGGCCGATGCTGGGTCGGACGGGGCCAGGGCACGGATCCATCCGTTCCAGAGCGTTCTGGAACGCTCTCAGAGCGTTCCGGGACCCCCTGCGGAGGCCGCGGCGCGCGAGGCATCCTCCAGAGCCGCCGGATCTCAGAGATTCGACTTGTCCTCGCCCGGCTTTATCCTCGTCCTGGCTTCGGGGCATTGGGCCCAGGGCCGGTGCGCAGCTTCTCCTCCCGGCCAGCTGCCAGGGAGGCGTGCGCACCGATCCCGGGCACAGGGGCGAGCCTGGCAAGGGGCCGCTCCGTGGGGGGAAACCCAGGCCCCCCCTTTCGGGTCATGAAGAAATCATTCTCCCTCTCCTCCTGCTCCTCCTCCTCCTC